GCAGTTTTCAGAAGATCATGGCGGACGCCGAAGATCTTACATTATTACATTTTCAGTGGTTGCTATGTGGCGTGGTGGATGTATACTCTAGACATGTTTTTTTTTCGTGTGGGTTGCAGTTGGCCGAGCTTGCTAGGTCATGTTCACATTGACTGTAGGCACCTATTGTGAACCTCGAATATTCAAGTTGAAGCTCTGTGTCAGTGGTCTGAAGGACAAACATAACAGCGATCGTTCTCTGACTCTTAATTGGGGAGATTAACCCTTACTCTCTGAGGGTAGTTTACTGCATGTCAGTTGGTTATGCCAATGCCCTCCAGCTGCAGTTTATTGGAGGATACTTTGATGTAGCAGTGAAGGCTCCAATTGGCAGGAGTTGGAGGCCCTGGAGGGTGCCTGATACTGACCAGCTGGGGCACTCACTTTGTTATCAGAGGACTCTCATTGTTCTCTGTGGCATGTATTGGAGTGCCTGTCCAGTTACCCTTGAAATGACATGGCAGATATTGGAGGGCCATGCAAAAAACATAGGAGATTTTCTTGAGGCACAATTGGCATGCGTTGGAGGGTCTAGTAGGGTAAGGGTTAATACAATGTTCAAACCACAGCCACATTGCTGCAAAGTGTGTTGCTTAGGAACACAAGTACACATGTGATCCCAAATGCTGATTTGGAGCCCAAATTCTTAACACAAAAATGTAACTGGGACACAGCAATCATATGCCATACATCATGTGTCAGTGACAGCGAAAAGAAACGACGCTCCCTATCGCAGTCTTTTCATGACCCATCGACCAATCAAGAACCTTGTAAGACGAGGAGGTTATATTATCTTCTCCGAATCAGCCCTGCCAGGCCTTGTATCTTAACCTGTCACGGTCGGAGTTTGATGAACGCTCTTCATTTTGTCCTTCATTGTGCCATTGCCCACAGGTGAAAAAAAGTAGGGGGAAAAAAGTAAAAATAAGTGTAAACCAAAACAAGCATCTACGCTTGGACTTACAGGCGGATTATACGCTGTTTCCTGGTGACATTTGAGCAGACCTCAGGCACAGCAGACCCGACCAAGTTTTTGGAAACACGACCCGAGTAGCAACCCAGATATGCCAACATTTAAAAAACAAAAAAGTGTTGGAAATATATTGTTCGTGCAGTGCATGCACCTGTATGTGGCTCATGGTCGATAAATTTTAATGCCGAAACCGCAATCGTAAAACCGTGAGCTCGAAAGCGGTGAGCTTGATGAATGAAACTTGGAAGCCATGTGACACCTCAGTACCTGAATGAATGTCTTCGTATCACCATCAAGTGGGTAATATATTAGCAGTAATCAAAAGTATTCCCTGCCCTCCCCAATGAACTGGCGTATCTCTGACTCATACCTTTTCTTCAGCTTTTGTCCAAGTGGGTCATGTCACACACTGTCTGTTTAGTCTTGGCCCAAGATTTGGTATTGAAATCCCAGCTGGTTCCTGACAAATGCTGATAAAGCTGCTGTGGCAGTAGATGTCACTATCAACAAGATGAATTGGATCCAATCTTGGGAAGTTTGGCAGCGCTACCCAGGAAATTTAGAGCATGCCTCACCTGCGCTGTGTTCAAGCTAATGCAAGCGTATCAGGTATGATAGACATTTTCTGGGTAGCACTGCCAAAGTTGCAGAGTTGTAACGAGTCACTGATTTTTGTGACTCGAGTCGAGTCGAGTCACAGTGTGTAGTCGAGTCGAGTCGAGTCAAGTATTTGAGCACTATACAATAAAAAGCACAAAAGAGAAAGTCATTTTTTGGCTTTTTAAATATTACATTCGGGCTACTACATGTGGCGACACCACATTTGACTCTTAATGAAAATAAAAAGGGGGTGCCAGCTGATCGTCATTCAACTAATGGGGACACTGATCAAACCACGTATGTTTATGTATACAATATTCCCGAACATTCTAACGTGACGTGAACAAAAACCGGCACCGGCGTAAGTCATTGCAAATATTTTTTGGGACTCGAGTCTCATTAGCCTTCCTCGAGTCGAGTCGAGTCATTCTGATGAGGGACTCGAGTCGAGTCGAGTCATTTGCTCGCAGTGACTCGAGTCGAGTCGAGTCATTTGCCCTTTGGGACTCGAGTCGAGTCGAGTCACCAAAAATTGTGGCTTCGAGTCGGACTCGAGTCGAGTCATTGACTCGAGTCATTACAACTCTGCAAAGTTGCCAAGACAGAATCTGATTCATCTGGTTGACAGAGCTGTCTAGTGCAGCAGTTTAACCACATTAGTCAGGGATCGACTGCATTAGGCCAATAAAATGTAGACCCAGTCTGGGACTAAGACTTCCCCTTAATAAATAGTATATTACGTGTAGGGCACTGGCATAGAAACCCAGACGGCTGCACTGATATCAAAATTTTAAGATACATAAATATTGTAAAAATATCTGTCTGTCTGTATCTGTATGGCTATGTTTCAGGCATTAGCACAACGGAGTACTGAGGTACTCAAGGCACTGGGAGTTATGTCTATTATTAGATGAATGAAGTACATGAGAGATGTGAGACCCATTATGTGGCACCAGGGTTTACAAGGTACTGGCCACTGCCAGAAACACTGGGGCGAACCCCTTCTCTTAGCGACAAGTGTTACCGGGTTCTTTAACGTGCATTACACAACACACGGGACCTACGGCTTTACGTCCCATCCTGTAACAAATTTTCATGGAAATTTCTTAAAGAAAATTTCTGTGGGGGTTGCGGGGCCTAGATATTGACCCCCTTCCCACAGATTGCAGATGGGTTAAGACATCATTTTTGGAAAAAAAAATTGAGTCTTCCCTTCACTATTTGATTACCTGCTGACGAGACATTTGTACTTTTCCCTCCTCTCAGAAATGTTCTCAACTTGCACATTCACGCTGCTCTCTTTGAAAACTGTAAATTTTGACCCCACTTTTGAATCACCTGTTATGTAGACTGCAGAGTACCTCCCAGTTACGTTTCAATGCCACGGCCACTTTTCCATTTCCAAACCAAATGCAATGAACTTTGAAGTGAAAGTATAGAGCACCATAAAACCAAGTCTGAAAAAGGGGCCAATTTTCACGGAGCTGAAGTTAGTGGCATAAAAAGGATGTGACTTTGCATTTAATTTTCTAATCATTTATCAAATATTTTAAGAATTGTTTAAATGTTTAGCCATTAACAAAGGCTGACGCCTGCCCGTTACATGTATGTCTGCAGACTGGCGTGATTGACACGATATATCAACAACGATTGACATGACAAATAGTGGGCAGTCAATGAAAAAGTAAAAACTTACCAGTAACTGTGTGTACCCTGAATGTAATCAAGTGCTAAATTACATAGGTTTGAAAACATTGTTATTTAAGCTATGAATGTTTAACTCATAGGAAGATCGTGTGAATTTAGGTCCCTTTTTTTATAACTCGGGGCTTGTTTAGATAGTATTGGAAAATGGATTTAGCTTTTTGTTTGTTTAAATGTTTAAACATCACATCCTTAGTGGCATCGACGGCACTCCAAAAAGTGGAAAGATCGTAAGCCAAAAGTTCGTGTGACTTGTATTGTTCAGTTCAGTCCTTTTTTTTTAAGCAAACAAATTTGCTAAGTAATATATAGTGTTTAGTAGCACCATAAAATTGGCCCAATTAAATACGGTAGATTTCAATTCATCACTGCACCACATCACATTGGCTGCTTCCAATGCCATGTTGTAGTCTAAGATTTCAGCTTTAAATACCCTGTAGCACATCCAGCGTATAATGTTTAGGCCCGCTGTCTCTCCGCATGAGACACGCATGGCTTATTCCCGGTATCAGCCAGCGGCGATTTGAAAGGGAGATTTTTAGTGGCGAGGTAAAACCAGCTTGGTTTTTGGCGGCCGGGCAGCGACGGCGGCAGGTTATAACCAGTCTGAGCCGCTCTTAGGACTTAAAACTCGCTGTTTGGTGTTTGATGATATTAAACATCGCGGTGCTGAGTTCCGGAGGTCTGATCTTAAAATCCCAATTCATCATGGTCTTATCCATGTCGGATAGCTTTGCAAACATTTGTTTTATCCTCTTAGAGGGGATTATGTGAGGATTTTGGTTTCTGAATTTCAGAATATAATGCCTATGTTAGTGATTACATTACGTTGGCTTGCTTTGCCAAGAAAGAAAGCCAACAGGGATTTTTTTATGAATTTGGGGGGTGGGGGATTCGGGAAATGTACATTCTGACATTTTCTTTCTTCAAGCTGTTTGGCCACACTGAGTTTACAGGACTTAAAGAGTTGTGCCAGTGAAGGGAATATTGACTTGCCAAACACTGAAAAATTGATCGGAAATAGGAATTAACTTCCATACATTTAACTTGTTACTTTGCCTCCTCCTCAGCCACCACCCCCCCCCCTCAAAAAAAAATGAAACAAGATTGAAAGCTGCTGTTCAGCTCACAAAAATGTACTTTAATATTGGGATTTGAGACTGCTGATCAATATAAATTGAATTAATTTATTAGGATTTGACTTAATATTTATTGAAACGAACCTGTACATGTAGTTACTTTCTTACATTCTTCATGCTACATCTATATTCAAGTTTCATCCCCCCCCCCAAATAAATTCCTTTTCTAAATTGCAATTTTTCAAGCAATACAGAAGTTATTCACTTTTGAATGAGACACCGAACGAAAAGAATTGGCCGTGTTTAGTTATTGAATTATTTCTTTACAATTTCAAATTATTGGCTGCCAGACAATGCTTCCACTCACGCGGGGTAGGCTGGTTCCCGCCCCACAAAATAGTGTCCATAATGGACAGACCGGGCGCCAGTCTGCTTGCACAGCGGATCTGTTTGTGCCCAAAACAAGAACCTTTTCTAAGAGAGGATTGCAGATGTCCAAAAAAGGAAAAAGTTGAAAAATGTTTTCATATAAGAAAACAAATTGAATTTGTTGAAGAGCACAGGAAAGCAATTTGAATAGTTTGATATTTCTATTTTTTTTGTAGATTGGTCCGTGAGGTAACACAGGTCAACGTCAACATGCGTGTGGGTATTCACAGCGGCAAGGTGCACTGTGGGGTGCTGGGCATGAGGAAGTGGCAGTTTGATGTCTGGTCCAACGACGTGACGCTGGCCAACACCATGGAGGCAGGCGGCATGCCAGGGTAAGTACTTGACTAGAGTAGCCCAACCAAGTTCAGCCCTGTACACACAAGACCAAAACAAACCTTACAATGCTTGAGAATTTTTTTTGTGCTTGAGAAATCTTACAAAAATGCAGTCGTGTGAAGGGACACTCATGCTAGAAAATGACCAATATCCCTGCCGAAGTAATCTCAAGCCTTTGAGAGATTTTGGCGGAGGTCAGGACCTATGACAAATTTTCTCAAGGTACCTCTAACAACCTCAAAACTGTTTATTGTAAATGTCCAATGCAATAGTGTAGGCAATTGCACCAATCACGGCCACATTCAACTTTTTGCAAGCGCCCGATTTTCAGGTTGACCTAAAAGCCAATGGTGTTTTATGTAAACTAGGCCTCATGAAGATTCATTTTCTGTGAAGTCTCTATCGATGTTCTAGTGTACAACATTCATGTGCCGTTTACATGTATATGTTCATCACATTCATATGCTCATGTTTGCAAATATCCAATCTTCCCTGGTACTAGCAACATTTTCATGCAAACACCACTGATCTACTGGTAACCAGCGTCCTTGTCTTCAGGAAAGCTGGAGAATTATTACTATGTAATGGTTCTTTTCAAAACCACACATACTCACAAAAGAGATTTATTCACATGGTGCTACCGCAAACTTATCTTGTCTTAGTATTTTTCCACCATGCAAACCTTCAAATCTCATCTTACTATATAATGTTAAAGCATGCAAATGATTTTAAGCGTGTAATGTTGAAAGTAAACAATCCCCACTCGTAAATTGTTGCTCAAACCTTGCTCGATATTTTTTGGCATTGTGTGAAGAAGGCTTACTGGTAAAGCTGAAACAAAATTGTAGTCCCTGCCTGAACTTGCTCCAAGTTGCAAACATCTAGGCCCAAGGAAAACGGTGTGCGCAGAGGCTGAAATGATGGTTGGCCATCAAAGGTTTACCCACAGTTTTCCATATTCTAATGACTTTTAATTTCTAATATTTTCTTTTAGGCAGTGTACAGGGTGAGTTAAAAATAAAAAAACAACCAAATGTCAGGACCATTGTTTTAGTGACGTTCCGCACGTAGCACTTTCAAAATCTAGGATATGAAAGCCCAATTCATAAGGTTTCTTTTAGTACAAGAATCATTCAAATCACTTATAAATGTACTTTTTTTAAGTTACAGAGTTTTATATTTAAACACAACCACCGTTTTAAAGTTCTGTCCACGGATCACAAAAAAAAGGTGTGCGTTCTTTCAGCAATTAACGAAAACTATTCACACACATCCTTATGTGATTTGCTTTCGTTTTGCTGAAAGAACACTGAACTGTTTCTGATCCGTGGACAGAACCATAAAATGGCGGTTGTGTATAAAACTCCGTAACTTGAAAAGTTCATAAGTGATTTGAATTATTCTTGTACTTAAAGAAAGCTTATGAAATGGGCTTTCACATCCAGGATTTGGAAAGTGCTACATGCAGAACTTCACTAAAACAATAGTCCCCACATTTGGGTTTCGTTTTTTTTTTTACTCAACCTGTACATGTACAAGCATTTTAAGTAGGGTACTTACCTAAGTAAAGTTTTGTTATTGCAGCCAGCAGATTAGTAAAATGCCCAGGGAGATCAATTTTAAAAAGAAATAATAATAATTTGACAAACCACTTAAGCGGTACTGTGTTTCTAGTCATGCGGTAGTAAACATGGTAAATCTTTGGCCCTTGGGACTACAGAAGGGATTAGAAAGCTTCTAGTCCTGTCTGTCTCACCAGCGAGGGTTGGTTGGACAGACCCCAAATCCTGCCCCAGAGCTTGTGGATGTTGTCCCCATGACTATAGGTCACAGCTGGACAATGACATATGGTTTGTTATCCTTTTTGATTAAAGTAGTCATTATACTACCTGAAGGGAGTTTAAAGGTAATAGGATCGTTTTCTCTCTGTCCCTTTTTTTTATTTGAAAAAAACAAAATTACTCAAAATCTTAAAGGCAAAGGACACCATTTACAAATGTTACAAAATGAAACTGTCAAAATATCATGAAATATCGATGTAGATTATTATTCATCCAATCAAAAGTAATCACATTGCAAGTAATAATTCAAATTCTGGATTCACTTTTACGTTGTCTCTGACGACATTTTGGCGATTGCATGTAACAACCGCCGCCTTCTGGTGGCCTCTGATGTGAAGGACGGTCCTTATAACGTCGTCAGAGACAACGTAAAAGTGAGTCCGGAATTGTAATTATAACTTGCAATTGTATCATGAAATAGCCGACTTTACTGTAAGAAAATAATAGGATTATGCATCCTGTGAAATCGTCGTGCCTGGTACATGTATGCTGTCGTTTTTGAGAGAAAAGGAATAGCCATCATTTCCTCGCGATGGTTAGGACCAACCCGTCGTGCTTTGAATGAAAAAAAAATTGCGTTGAGAACAATGAAGTTGGAGCGTCACATTTTTTTTTCTGAAAAAGTTTCCACAGGTTAGTTTTTTAATAACCTGCTTTAGATTTATTGTAGTGTTGTTCCTTGAAGCTGCAAAAACTAATTTTTGACAAATGGTGTCTATTATCTTTAAGTTGAGTGCATAACAACTAAGCTATTGATTGGCTACTAGTACTATGCATTTTGAGAAAACAGAAAAACATAGTCACAATTTTTACCTCCGCCAAGGATGTTACGTTTTCATCGGATGTGGTTGGTTTGTTGGTTGGTTTGTCTGTTAACAAGATAACTCAAAAAGTTATGGACCGATTTGCATGAACATTTTTTAGGGGTGGTCCTTGGTACAAGTACAAATTGATTAGATTTTGGGAGTGATCCGGATCTGTTTCTGGATCCAGGATTTTTTTTAAGGATTCTTCACCATTTATGCGAGTATTTCTTTTGGGTGAACTGACAATGTGGCGGGGAATTGTTTAGCCTTTGCAGAGGTTTGTGCTCTCTGAGTGCTTTCTAGTTTTAGCCTTTGCAGAGGTTTGTGCTCTCTGAGTGCTTTCTAGTTTGTAACTGGATTCCGTTGCTAACGCACGTATGTGCCCGTTAAAAATCACCTTTAATAAATTTTGTTGTTCTGATTGAGACCATTACTGGCAGAATACTTTCACAGGGTATATTTGAGCGAGATTTTTCTCATTAAAGTCGTTAAGTGCGTTTCAGCATAATTACTACTGTTCCTACATATACACGTGCCTTTAATAACGAAAACTTTGGAGAGTTATCGAGCTCAACATTTCAAAAAAGGACTAAATTGATGCAGGATCAGATCTGCGAAAACATTACACTCGAAACGGCAGGAGATATTTTTTAAAGTACAAAATATGTTTACGCTCTTGATCGTGAAACTTTGCAGATGAGAGAAAGCATACTCCTTATGTGCGCTGCTAACATGCTTCCATAAGGAACACCCTAAGGGCTGTTCGGTTGTCAAAACCCCATATAGGCGTGGAGTACTCCACTCACAACCAATGTCACTTGACATGGAATGGATACCTTGAGTTACGAACAAAGTGGTGTTAAGAAAAGAACACACCACGTACAAAAATAGACTCCCATAGGAAGACAAAAAAAGCAGTTACCTGCCAGAAATTTACGTGAAATACTTAAGACGTTTATGTTGCACGTTGTAAGTGCACTCGAACCGCATCAGGTTTTTACTTGTCGCTCAAGAATATGAGACCAGGGGTTCAGTGGAAATTGCACTGAAGCGTAATATGAGTGCCTTGTTGGCCCTTGAGGATATTTTGCAGAACAAATTTTGTATAATGGAAGCCTTGGGAACAAGTATGCAGTGGGGTTTTTGTTAGTTGACAAGTGGGAGATGCGAAGATTGGAAGAGTCGTGCTTTGCTTGCTAACTGACGTTGTTTACCATGAACCATCTTGATTGATTTCTAAGTCCTTTATGATTCAGAAGCTGAAAGGTCTTTAGACTGTCTCTCTCTCTCTTTTTCTCTGGGGTATATTCCCCCTCTTTTCTTTTGAAAAAATGTCGGGAAAAAAAAATGAGTTGTGCTTACTTTGTGCAATACGTGCACAAACCAGCATGCTCACATGGCGTATCCCTCCCACGTGGGCTCTCGAAAGTGGTAAACTTTCAAACTCGAAATCAAAAAGGGCCTTGAACTCCCGCTGCGTTTTCCGAATGAACAGTAAAAAGTATTTACCAAAATTCAAATGTCAAGTCAATTTTTGTACCTTAGTTCGAAGAAAAAAAAAAGCTTCTGCTACTAATACGCATGTTATGTATTCGGTTACATATCTTGTTTCAGATAATCTCTGACACAGGTGGTTTACTTTTTTTCCCATCTCCAGAGATGCCACTTTTCCGGTTTTAACCGGAATTCCGGTTTTTAAAAAAAATCTCACAAAATTCCGGTTTTTCCGGCCGTCAAATTAACCAGAAAAAGAGAAGAAAAACTGTGGAAATGCGTTGATTTTTACCTCGATTTAGTACATTTAGGCGCACGCATGGCACAACGTTGTTCGTTGAAGTAGTCTTAAAAACAGTCTTTGTGTATGTTGTTGCCGAGCCTGCATGCGATACAAACGGCCAACGTACTTAATTGCACGCAGTATACAACGGCGCCTCGCGCGTGCTTCACCGCGTGCGGGCGTGTTGTGTGCTAAGCACACGTAGCATTCAGCCTGGAAATCAAGTCTATCATTTCAGCTATCGGTGGTTTCCGATCGCAGTGATATATGTGAATACAAAAAATGCGGGTACCAACCATGTTTTCGTTGAGCGCATCGCGTAGTGCAAGGATCATGTACACCGATTGCAGTGTTGTGGAATCATGCATGTTTCGTGTCGAATATTACGTTGGAAATTCGGGTAGGCAGAATAAATATTAGGATGGAAAAAGTCAAAGTGATTGAACGAACCGACAGCTTTCAAGGCCATAGAAGCAAAATTAAAAAATAAACAGAACTTGGCTTGGCTACAAGATAAAGATGACAGCGGGGACTTTGTGTCGGACACAGAGTGGCTTTTTCACACACACAAA